CTTCTCTGTTTCGTTCCAGCAACTCCTTCATCCACGTGTCTGAGCCACGCCACGCCACACTTGCTGCTCCGGTGCCACGGCAGGCAGTGGCGCTCGCGGCCCCGCCCAGCTCTCACCTGCGCCAGGTGGTGTGAGGTGTGGTGCGAGCACCCGGGCCCGGTGGGACACGGCCTTGCGGCCTCAGCACCGCGCTTGGCGAGGCCGGTGGCGGCGGCGTCAGTTGGCGCAAGCAGAACCCGCAGCGGGGCGTTTTCTGTCCCTAGCTGGACGAGACTATCCGGCGGTATTGGGCACGCCCAATCTCTTTTCACGCTGTTTTGAAAACGCAATTTGTTGCAATGCGGCGGATGGATTAGGGGGCACTCTGGGTGTGATGAGATGTCGCTCTGGCTTTTGAGTGACGGCTGACACTTCACCAGCCTGTGGCTGCGGGTTGGCTGGTGAGTGGGCCACGGGAGGTGTGGCCCATCCACGAGAAGAGTCCTGACGGCTGGAGTGGCCGACCTCAGGATGGCCTCGCTCTCTTTTGCATTTTTTCCGCCTCGGTTTTCACGGCCCCGGTGACCCTGCAGTCCCCTGCTGCTTCTCGATTCACGCACTCGCCCATGCCCGGCTGTCGGCCAGTCTGAGGAAGAGCCTCTCCCTCCACGGTTGGTTACTCCCCGGCCACCCTGCTCTGCTCATGCCCGTGGTCGGGTCTGTCCCACACGAGTGTGCGTGTGTGGAGTCGGTCTTGTTTCTCGTGACACTGTCGTTCTGTGTTTGTTTCTTGTGTCCTTCAGTCAAGACACCGCACAAGGCTTGTCTTCCCCAGGGGTGGGAAACCCAGCCCCGAGAGAAAGGTCCTGCGGGAAACTGAGGCACGGAGAGACTGAGTTGGTGAGTTGGGGACTGAGGCCCAGACCCACACCTGGGGACTCTGAGGCAGCTCCTGACCCCATCGTCTTCTCTCGGGTCTGTTTCTGGGAGAGCCAACGCAAGCAGTGTGGCTCTGGGCCCCAGCTCTGCGGGCAGGGTCTGTCTGTCCCGTTTTATTATCTATTGAGACAGGGTCTCACTCACTCTGTTGCCCGGGCTACAGTGCCATGGCATCAGCCTAGCTCACAGCAACCTCAAACTGCTGGGCTCAAGCAATCCTCCTGCCTCAGCCTCCCGAGTAGCTGGGACTACAGGCATGCGCCACCATGCCCGGCTAATTTTTTCTATATATATTAGTTGGCCAATTAATTTCTTTCTATTTATAGTAGAGACAGGGTCTTGTTCGTGCTCAGGCTGGTTTCGAACTCCTGACCTTGAGCAATCCTCCCAGCTCGGCCTCCCAGAGTGCTAGGATTACAGGCGTGAGCCACCGAGCCCGGCCTGTCCCCTGTTTTAGAGCTGGGATGTGACAGGTGGCTTCTCTGCACAGGAGGGGGCGGGTGTGGGGACAGAGCTGGTCCTGCTCAGTGTCCCCGTCAGCCCCTCCGTGCTCGGCACCGCAGTTGGGTCCCTGCTGGGCTAACACAGGACAGCGTCACAGCTGGGCAGGAGGCTCGTGTCACGTGGCTGGTGGCCACGGCTCCCACCCCAACTGAGCACAGACTCCTGTCCTTGCCGAGGGGCCGTCTGCACCACAGCGCACTCGAGAGTCTCTGGTTCGAGTCTGTTTGAGGTTACACAAACAGGAAGGGAAAGGGTGGGCATCCTGGCGTTGAGAGAGCGAGGCACAGTCTAAATCGGGAGAGGATCTTCCGGCAGACGGCCGTTCAGAGTAATAAACGGGCAGACGGAGAGTCCGCTTCAGCAGGACCCGGACGTGCTCAGAGGAGGCCAGGCCGTGCGGCCGTTTTACAGACGGGAAAACGTGGCTTCTCCCTGAAGCCGAGGCTCCTCTCAGGCTGTCTCACCGTCATGCCGCGGTGTGGACGTTCTCCGGGGGCTGTTCTGGGCGCTGGACTGTCCTGTTTGGGGAACTCCACCGAGCTGTCTGGCACCTGTGGTGGCTCTTGTGGCAGGAGGGTAGGATGGTCACCCCTGCGCACGGGGCTGGGGTTGGCGGGAGCGCAGGAGAGACGCATGTGTGTAGACTCCAGCTCCCGCGGCCTCACCCTCGGGGTGTGTCTTCAAGGGACTTTTTGTTTTGGTTCCTTTTGCATGTTTGAAGCTTTATACATCCGTCATTTCCCCAGCACTCTCCAAAGTGTTTCAAACAGTTTCTTTCTTTCTTTTTTTTTTTTTTGGTAAAATGCTCAAAAGGCCTTTGATACCCTGATGGTGAGAAAACCAGCCCTGGCCGGGCACAGGGTCTCTTTAGAAGTGGCGGTCTTGGCCCGTGGGGTACCGGCCGCCCTGCTGCCCTGCACCTGCACTGTTCTGTCCCCGCCGCCTTCCTTTCTGCCCAGACCTCGGGCTGCTCGGTCCCCGGGGGGAGGCTGAGGCCAAGCTGTGGGCTGAAGGCGGGTCAGAGGGACCCACTGGTGCTGCCTGTGGCGTGGGAAGCTGCCCACTCCTGGGCCACTGCTGTGGCTGCCTCACGGCCTGCGTGGGCCTGGGAAGGACCCGCACTCGCTGATGGCAAAAGGCAGGAGCCAGAGGACCCACCTCACCTGCAGGTCCCTGAGCAATTTCTCCCAGGTGGGGCCCTGCATGATGCTCTGCCCGACGTCGGGGCTGCATCAGATGCATGTGGAGTCCGTGGTGGCCACCACGTCGTGCTGGGGCCCATTGCAGGTGCCCACAACCCTGGCACCTAGCAGGTGCACGCACCTGGGGGTTCTGGCAGAGCAGGCCCTTGCGCCCTCTGGTGGCCTCCTTGTGGCATTGCACCCACCCAGCCCTGGGTCCTGCAGCCTGGGAGGGGTTGATGCTCCTCAGCTCCTAGCAGGTGGGGTGCAAACAAGTGAAGACCACCCAAGGGCAAACAGACTGCTTATTCAGAGCTTGCTGGGGCACGGGGTCCACCACTGTCACCTGTGTTTGGTGAAGACTCAGGCAGTCGGAGGAGCCGTGGGGACAGCCGGTAGCAGGACGGCTCCGAGAAGCCCTTGTGGGAGGCTGATGGATGCAGGGTCACATGTGGCCTCGCGCAGGCACATGCTGGAGGCTGACGCTGAGGCTTCGGGTCTTAAATGCAGAGTCGGGGAGCAGCCTCCCGGCCCTGCTACTGTCTTTCTCTTGGCCGATGACAGCCGCATGGCCCTGCTGGGAGATCAGTGGCTTTGGCGTTTGTTTTTCTTCTTTAGCTCCTGGGTAGTAAAAAGTCTCCGGTTGCTCAGCTGGTGTGTCTCACCTCCTTCTGGTGCCTGGGGACACGGGAGCAGTGCTGAGGCCAGCGGCGTCCAGTCCCTCGAGGGATGGGCCCAGGGCTGTGCTGGCCATTCCATCCGATACACTGGGGGGTTGAGGGTCTGGGGTCCAGTCCCGCCACACCTCTCCACCGCCTGCCCAGCTTCCTCCTGGCCAAGCAGCACCGGGTGGGCCTCAGGGCTGATGGTGATGAACACACATGACGGCTCCTTCCAAAAAACCTGTGCTCTACACGCACCTGGAACACCCTCGCCACAGCCCTGAGTGCCACCTTGGGTTTTCCAGCCTAGAAAATCTATATTTCTCTTGTATTAAATGCTGCCTCTTCTTAGAAGCCTTCTCTGACTGCTTGGGACTTGGGAGCTCATTGTGAGCTGAGTCTTTTACTTATGTGGCAGGTGCAGGGGCAGCCAGCTCTGCAGGGAGGGGCTGGGTGCAGGGGAAGCCAGCTCTGTAGGGGAGGGGCTGGGTGCAGGGTGAGCCAGCTCTGCAGGGAGGGGCTGGATGCAGGCGGAGCCAGCTCTGCAGGGAGGGTCTGGGTGCAGGGGGAGCCAGCTCTGCAGGGAGGGGCTGGGTACAGAAGGAGCCAGTTCTGCAGGGGAGGGGCTGGGTGCAGGGGGAGCCAGCTCTGCAGGGAGGGTCTGGGTGCAGGGGGAGTCAGTTCTGCAGGGGAGGGGCTGGGTGCAGGGGGAGCCAGTTCTGCTGGGGAGGGGCTGGGTGCAGCGGGAGCCAGTTCTGCAGGGGAGGGGCTGGGTGCAGGGGGAGCCAGTTCTGCAGAGGAGGGGCTGGGTGCAGGGGGAGCCAGCTCTACAGAAGAGGGGCTGGGTGCAGGGGAAGCCAGTTCTGCAGGGGAGGGGCTGGGTGCAGGGGGAGCAGGTTCTGCAGAGGAGGGTCGGGGTGCAGGGGGAGCCAGCTCTGGAGTAGAGGGGTTCGGTGCAGGGGAAGCCAGCTCTACAGGGGAGGATCTGGGTGCAGGAGGAGCCAGCTCTAGAGGGGAGGGGCTGGGTGCAAGGGGAGCCAGCTCTACAGGGGAGGAGTTCAGTGCAGGGGGAGCTAGCTCTACAGGGGAGGGGCTGGGTGCAGGGGAAGCCAGCTCTGGAGTGGAGGGGTTCAGTGCAGGGGGAGCCAGTTCTACAGGGGAGGGTTTGGGTGTAGGGGGAGCCAGCTCTGGAATGGAGGGGTTCGGTGCAGGGGGAGCCAGCTCCGGAGGGGAGGGGCTGGGTGCAGGGGGAGCCAGCTCTACAGGGGAGGGGCTGGTTGCAAGGGGAGCCAGCTCTGGAGGGGAGGGGCTGGGTGCAGGGGGAGCCAGCTCCGGAGGGGAGGGGCTGGGTGCAGGGGGAGCCAGCTCTGTACCGGCCATTGCCACCCAGGGCCCCCGTGGTGGAGGCTCGTGGTGGAGTGTCGTGGTGGGAGAGGTGCAGAGCTGGAGCCCACGTAGTGGTCCTGAGGTTTGGGTGGTTGTGTGGTCAGGTGGTTGGGGCTAGAGAAGTGTGTCCAGGGGTGAGATGTGGCACCCACCTGCTTACACCTGTGTGAGAGGAGATGGGTTTCCTTGCTGTGTGGTGCAGTCACACCTTATAATTCCATCTTCAGGCGCATTAGGTAATTAGGTTACAGCAAACACCGTTAGAGTAATCACACCATTTGGTAGAACCGCCCAAGAAGCCATGAGAAATTGGGTTGAAAAACAAGAAACTGTATCTGATGAAAATTACCTTTCAAGACTTTCAGTTTCAAGGTGTGAATTCTCCACGGTGAAGACTTGTGGCTGGAGACCTTGGTGTCAACCCAGGGAAGTGCTTTAATCCTCCCAATTAGCTCTGAATGTCACCTTCCACGCAGGGAGGCTGAAGACACTGCGGTGATTTTGCCAGGCAGCCCCCCAGGGCCAGGCTGCTTTGAGACTCCGGCAGGGCTTTGTTTGGGAAAATGTGGCTGAACTTCAATTTTGTCACAGCGATAGTGGAGAGTGTGCTAAGTACACTTGACCTTTCTGAATTTATGACTCAGCATTTAGGTGTTTTGGGTGTTTGCAGATCTTCAGACTCAGGGTTTTGGCTAAAGGAAGCCCCTGGGGTGAGGGAGGAGACACCCGGTGCTGGTGGCCTGGGCGGGAGGTTTCCACGCACTCCTATTCTAGTCCCTCTCTCCTTTCCAGCCGACGTCACTGGGTGGGGCTGATCACCTCTGGGGTGCAGGGCCCTTCCTGCTCCTGAGGGTTGGGGACGGGGGGCATGGTGGGGACCCGGGAGGTGCTTTCTGCCCGTGCATTTGCTGTTTTCACCTCACTCTGGCAGGGGGGACACTGAGGCTGGGAGGGGACGAGAGGCCTGAGGTCGCAGCTGAAGATCCAGAACCACGTCCCTGCGCCACCCCTGAGTTCCTGTAAAAGAAGGGAATGGTTTATGAATTCCACCCTTGGGGGTGCCCGCCTGCAGCTTGGGGACCCCCTCCACTCCTGCTCCCCGAGTCCCGGGCCCACCCAGGACCCCAGGCACCCAGGACTCCAGGCACGCAGCCCCCTGGGTGGGCCCTGGGGTGGGGTGGGGGCGTCTGCAGTGCAGGGGAGGGGTCGGTGTGGACAGTCGGGTGTGGCGGGAAAATGTCAGACGGTCCCTGCTCCCACAGGGTAGTCGGGTGTTTCTCGTCATAAAATGAGACATTTTACCTCATATTACGGTGACCTCTAGCCGTAGGAAGAGGCCGGGCGTGCTGGGGTGGGTGCCCTTCCCTGGTGTGGACCGCACTTCCCGCAGGGGACAGGGCCCGGCCTGGCTGGCAGGGGCTGCCGGGCCTGGTGCTGCAGCGCACGGCTCGGCCGGCAGAGGGCGCGCCGCGCCGGGAGTTGGCGGGCGCGGGGGCGGGACCGGGCCACGCGGGTGAGGTCGGCCTCGCGGGGCCGAAACTTCGAGTCTTCACGGGAACGACAGCCGGTGGACGGGGCGTTGGAATAAGAAGCGTCTGTCCCTGCAGTTTCACGTGTGAGCACCGCAGGCGGAGCCGCCGCGTGGAGCCGTCGTGACAGGGACGCCCCAGTGCTCCGCGGTGTGGGGACTTCCGCCCAGGCTGGCGGGGCTGGCGGGGCGGGGGCGTGGCTGGTGGGGGCGTGGCCGGACTTCTCACCGCGGGAGGGGCCGTTCCCACCGGCGGAGTGAGGTGACGTGATGACGTAACGCCCCCGCGGGCGGTCTGCCGCCACCCTCCTGCCCCCCGGGTTTTCCAAAGCCTCCTGGGTCAGACCAGCGGCAGCGAGCGCACCTGGCGCGCGGTCCCGGTGTCGCGTTTTGGGGGCACGTTGGTGAAGAGGAGGGAAGTCGGGGGACGGGCTTGGGGCTGTCGGGGACGCGAGCCTTGTCCCTGCAGAGAGGGAGAAGGCGCGGCCGGGCGTGTCCGTCCCAGCGAGGGGAGTCTCTTCCCGCCCCGACGGTCCTCGCTGGTCCCCGCCGTCCCCTGCGTCCTGCCTGGCTGCGGGGCCGCCCGCGTGTCGCGTGTCCTCTGAGGGCGAGTCTCTCCCTCTAAGGAAGTCAGCTTGACTTGGATCCTGCAAAGGCGGCCGCCTCGGGGTGACGCCCGGCCTCGCGTGGGGGCGCTCGGCTTCCCGGCGGCGTTTCCTGTGGGGGCGCCCGGGCTGCCTCGCCTGCTCTGTGCGGTGTGTCCGGGACAATCCCGGACTGGGCGACCTCTGACGCCCCCGCCCCGGGCCGTGTGTGACACTGAGGAGGTGACACTGAGGACTGAGGGGAGGTGGCTTGGCCAGGGCGTTCCAGTCAGGAGCCGCCAGGCAGGTGAAGCAGCCCCATGCTGGGCTGGCGGCTGGGCTGGCGGCGGTCCCGAGCACAGTTGGGAACGGGGTTTCTTCTGTATCGATCACTCGCAGATCCCATTAGTTTTAATTTGCTTAATAAGGAGGAGTGTTTGTTTCATAACTCAGAACCAAAACTGTAATTATTCACATAAACGGTCGTATCTGTGTGGGGGAGGCCTGTGGGCTGATGCTTTTCATTCCTCAGTGACCAGGGGATTAATTGAGGTGCCACCGCGGAAAGAAGGCCCAATAAATCTCTTCCTAATGAACTCGCGTTTCAGAGCTTAACTCTGAAGTCACTGAATCTTGTAGCCAAAGTGCGTTTTCGCTTTGTGTGGCTCGCGGACGCGGCTCTGTCAGCGTGTGCTTCTGCCCCATGGACTGCGTTGGCAGCAGCTGTGTGTGGAGGAGGCGGTGTGGTGTGTGCTGATGGGAGTCACTCCAGGCCACGGAGAGACCTCGGTCACCTCACCGCGTCCTTCCTCAGCTGGCCCCTCCGAGCGTCACCCTGCACCCGTCCCTGCCGCTTCTCTCTGGAGGCTTTAGCGTTGGAACTGGAACTGGCAGTGAACTTCAGAATCGTGCTGTCTATTGAGAAAGTAACTCGGTATACGGGCACACTGTTCTCAGACTAATGGTTCTTTAATTCCAGTTCTTTGAGGCGACCCACCACCCACCGAAGCGGCCGTCTTTCATTCTGAGACCCACACGTAGAGGCTGCTCCCTGCAGTCCTCTGTGCTCCTGGTCCTGTTGTCCTCGGTTGTGTTGTTCCCCCCAGGGACACCTGCTCCCTCGGGATGTAGCCCATTGCGGGCTTGCCGGGCGGGGAGCGTCCTTTCAGCAGCACCCTTGGAGGTGTGGAGCCAAGCAGGTTTCTTCCCTGGTGGAACGCCCACCACCTCTGCCTCTAGCTTTCCTCTGAGCTTCACGGATTCTGGGTCCTGGGGTCGGCTCAAGCCGTGCGTTGGGCCCCAGTGCACCAGTCGGCTAACTCTGTTCCTAGAAGCAAGGCAAAGTGAAGAGGTGGTGGTTACCTGTCAACCTAGGGGCGAGGTTCCATAACGTGCACACACAGAGCTTCTCCACCTGGGACCGTGGTGTGTGTGGGTGCCGTGGACTCCCCCCGGGTGCCTTCTCATCTTTTTTCATCTTCTGCTTCAGACTGAGCCCAGGTGGCTGGTTCAGCAGCCCCAGCTCACCCCTGTCCTTGGTGTGTGCTCTGGAAATGGTGGGTGGTTGTCTCCGAGTGGGTCTGGGAATGCTGAGGGCTGCCCACAGATGTCATCATGAAGTTATTCCAGTGTCACCTTGGCATGGCCAGGGCCAGTCAAGTGTGGCCACTGTCACTTGGAAAAGGACATTTCTGAAACTCGAAGATTAATGATGCGATGATTTGGCATTCTGATCACTGAGAAAAATAATACCAGTGGTGGTGGTGGTGAGTTTTAGTTAGCCAGGGTGTTTTGTGCTTGTCCCCTTGAATTTGTGGTTTTCCATTTTATCACCTCTGAATAGCCGTTTAGTTGCGATACAATGAGATTTTAAAATGGAAGTAAGAACAGAAGCCTATTCTACTTTGGTGGTTGTGTGCATGTTACTGTTAGTGTTTTTTCATGTCCTTTCAAACCTGAAATGTTATTAGAACAGATTTTCATTGGTTCAATTAAATTTTTTCTTTTTAATGATTTTTTTTCCTCACCATAATTGGTTGGAACTCTGGTCTCTATGGTTATTCCCAGGACTTTGTTTGGTTTTTTTTGAGTCAGGGTTTCGCTCTGTCACTCAGGCTGGAGTGCAGTGGTACAATTACAGCTCACTCTAGCCTCAACTCCTGGGTTCAAGTGATCCTCCTGCCTCAGCTTCCCAAGTAGCTGAGACTACAGGAGCCACCACACCCAGCTAATTTAAACCTGGCTAATTTTTTATTTTTATTTTTGGTAGAAACGGGGCCTCACTATGTTGCACAGGCTGGTCTCAAAGTCCCAGCTTCAAGGGACCTTCCCACCTTGTGGGATCACAGGTGTGAACTACTGTGTCCCGCACCCAGGACTTTATATTAAAGCAGTTTTTTATAGTGGGACTCATATAATGTTGGCTTACACAGAAGAAGAAGTTTAGGAGTTTAGGTTCTTGTCTATGATTTCCGAAGAGAATACATTGTTTCATACTTATCATTCCTTGTTCCAAGGGCAGTGCAGGAGTGGGGGATGGAAAACCTGGAGGGTAAGAAACTCTGTGCAGGAACGGCAAACACCAGTGGGTGTCACTGCCCCGCGTGCTGCTGCAGAGCTGTGGAAGTGCGGTTGTTGATGAACGAGGCATGTGGTAAACGGGTGCACACTGGCCCCCAGTGGTGTTGGTTTGCCCTCTGACTCACCAGCGTGTCTTCTGAAAATTAGTACTTCTGTTTTCGTACCTTTGGCAACTTTTATAATAAATGCATGTTCAAGAGTTAAATATAACAGTTTTCAGTAAATTAAATGTACTTCATACTCGCAGTCGGGCCTTACTTATGCATACAGAGTTGCAGTGATTTTTGATAAAGGGAAGGCTTGCTCTGTCCTGCAAACACCCTTCTGGATTAATCTCCTCTAAAACACGTCTTTGGTGCATCGTTTGTAGTAGCTTAAGCAGCAACAACTATGCTTGTTTAAGCAAAACTCTTCCTACGGGCTTTGCTTCGTGTGCTGCCGCTTGCAAGGCAGAGATCCGTCACTGTCACGGTCCCACCTCCCCCGCTGTGGCGAGCGGTGGCGCTTAGCGGTAACTAAGACCCGACCCAGGGGAAGAGCCTTGGCGGTCGGGCCACTGCCTCTGGCAATGCTAAGCCGATGGCGTCTGTGGCCCACGGTCCCCACGACTTGGGCCAGTGCTGTTGTCTCGTGAGTTTGTGCTCCCAGGGGCTGCTGTGGGAACTGGCTGGGAGGTCCCGCCAGGATTTAGGCTGCCATAAATCCTCGGAATTAGCGAATGCCACTGCTCTGAGAACGTGTGGCCACGTAGACCCCTGACCTTCTCTCTTCCTGTGGTGCGGCCTCCGCCTGCTGCCGTGTGCACGTGACTCCAACAGACTCAGGGACACATGCGTGTCCTGTTGGTTCACACGGGATGGCAGAGCACAGCGGTCGACACACGTGTTGTCAGTAGTCATGGAACGTGGTTCATCCGTGATCACACAGGGCGTTTGGGGTGACTCACGCAGTCAGGTTTTCACGGAACATGACAGTCCCACGGGGAACATTTCAAAGCAAGGGCTCCAGCAAAGAGAATTCCAGAGTTCCCTCAACGCACCTGAACTCCTGGCTAATGGGAACTCACCGCAAAGACTTTGAGCAGTGATGTCATCATTATGCAAATCTGTAAAAAGTCATTGCGATCATTCGTTTGCTGCAGGCTGCCTCTGAGCCTGTGAGCCGGTTCTGAGCCTGGGGTAATGGTGTGCACGGCGTGTTCTTGTTTCTCCTCTACCCCTTGGCCTGACCCCTCAGGGAGCATCCACACCATCACGTGGTTCGGGAGTTTGCCTTTAGTGCCGAGTGGAGGTCCAATAAATGGACAGATCACATTTTAAAATCCATTTTCCTGTTGATGGACTTTTTTCTTTTTCGTTTTTCAGTTTTTGGCTGTTACGAATACAGTCCCTCTAACCATTCTCGTGTAATTCTTTTTACGGGCACATGTTTTCATTCCTCTCGGACAGACACCTGGGAGTGGAATTGCTGGGCTGTTGAGCAGGTGCAAGTTCTTCCCTACAGGGACCTACCTGCAGGCTCTCGCCCAGAGTGGTCGTCCGACTCCACCAGGGACGCGTGGGGCCGTCGCTGCTCCAGGTCCTTGCAGGGCTGCCGTCAGCCCATGTGGTTTCTGCCTGCCTAGTGGGTTCACAGCGGAATCACACTGCGGTTTCAGTTTCCATTTCCGACTGTCTTGCTCACTGTGCCCTGCTCTTAACAGAAGGGCTGTGGGCTCAGGTTGGGAT